CATTTTTTTTTAAAAGATTTTATTTATTTGACAGACAGAGATCACAAGTAGGCAGAGAGGCAGGCAGAAAGAGAGGAGGAAGCAGGCTCCCCGCCAAGCAGAGAGCCCGATGCGGGGCTCGATCCCAGGACCCTGGGATCATGACCTGAGCCGAAAGCAGAGGCTTTAACCCACTGAGCCACCCAGGCGCCCCTAAAAGATAACATTTTAAAAAGTAACACAGAATAAGTGTAAACCCCAGAGACAGGAAATCTAGACTTAGTCTAGTGTAACAAGGAGTTCCCTGTATGGTTTTAAGCCAGTTATCCCAGTGTTTCTCCTTGTGTTTAAGGCATAAAAATGATTTGTATTCTTCACTTTATCCTGATCAGGACTGTTGGAAAGAGTGATTAATGTTGGCAAAAAGCTCTGATTCCCTGAAAGAAGAGAAAAAAAAACTATAAAAGAAATGGTATAATGTCCATTGGCTACTTAAGACAATTGGTTTGTTTTATTCATTCTTCCCTATTTTAAAGACCATGGTTGCATTTTCACTGTCACTGTTGCATGAGGGCAAAATCCCCTAATAAGAGTGGACACCAATTCTGTATTCCATTTAGAGTAGAAATGTAAAACTCATGAGAGAAATTTAAGACCCACTGAGATTTTAGTGGATATTGCCGTTTGCTTGTCTAGTGGTCTTTATCCCATTCCTCCTTTCTAACAGAACTCTGATTGCAACAGGCAACCACCCATTCCCAGATCACTCAGAGGAAGCTGATTCAATCCCCAGACAGATTCAATCATGTTATTTCTTTGTCAGTGTTTGATTCTAGAACTCAGGCCTAAAGTCAGTTAGCATGGTCCAGTTTAGGCAAATGCACTGAGGTCATCAAACTAATGGAAAGAATTTTTTCTCTTTAGAGGGTACTCTCCCCTGCCTGCTGATTCTTTCCACTTCTCCTCCTCCTCCACCTTGTTTTCTTCCTTATAAGGGAATGTCTCTTACCATTGTCCTGGGTCCAAATCAACCCACAGATGTTCTTCTCATCTAATGGCAGAAATGCCAGAGAGCAAGTTTTAACAGGCAAATTCATTTCAAACTTAGCTTTTATCTTATCTGTTCCCATTCCATTGACCAAAGCAAGTCACATGGCTAAGCGCCAAGAGATATTGAGGAGTTAATCCTATTTATAATTGTACCAAAAACTATAGGATATCTAGGAATAAACCTAAACAAAGAGACAAAGGATCTGTACTCAGAAAACTATAGAACGCTCATGAGAGAAATTGAGGAAGACACAAAGAAATTGAAAAACATTCCATGCTCATGGACTGGAAGAACAAATATTGTTTGTTCAATAGATCAATGGAACAGAATAGAGAGCCCAGAAATGGACCCTCAACTCTATGGTCAACTAATCTTTGACAAAGCAGGAAAGAATTTCCCATGGAAAAAAGATAGTCTCTTCAACAAATTGTGTTGGGAAAATTAGATAGCCACGTGCAGAAGAATGATACTGGACCATTCTTTTACACCATCCACAAAATAGACTCAAAATGGATGGAAGACCTAAATGTGAGACAGGAATCCATCAAAATCCTAGAGGAGAGCACAGGCAGCAAACTCTTGGAGCTCAGCTGCAGCAACTTCTCACTAGACACGTCTCCAAAGGGAAGGGAAACGAAGGCAAAATTAAACTATTGGGACTTCGTCAAGATAAAAACCTTTTGCAAGCAAAGGAACAGTCAACAAAACCAAAAGATGACTGACAGAATGTGAGTAGATATTTGAAAACATCTTATCAGATAAAGGGCTAGTATCCAAGATCTATAGAGAACTTTTCAAACTCGGGACTACTGGGTGTCTCAGTTGGTTAGGCGGCTGCCTTTGGCTCAGGTCATGATCCCAGGGTTCTGGGATCGATTCCTGCATTGGGCTCTTTGCTCAGCGGGGAGTCTGCTTCTCTCTCTGCCTCTACCTGCTTGTGCTCTCTCTCTGACAAATAAAATATTTAAAAAAAAGAACTAATCAAACTCAACACCCAAGGAACAAATAATCCAATCAAGAAATGGCAGAAGACAGGAACAGATATTTCTCCAAAGAAGACATCCAAATGGCCAAAGACACATGAAAAAGTGTTCAACATCACTCAGCATCAGGGAAATACAAATCAAAACCACAGTGAGATACCACCTCACACCAGTCAGAATGGCTAAAATTAACCAGTCAAGAAATGACAGGTGCTGTTGAGGGTGCAGGGAAAGGGGAACCCTCCTACACTGTTGGTGGGAATGGAAGCTGGTGCAGACACTATGGAAAACAGTATGGAGGTTCCTCAGAAAGTTGAAATTAGAGCTACCCTATGACCCACCAATTGCACTACTAGGGATTTACCCCAAAGATACAAATGTCATGATCCAAAGGGGCACATGCACCCCAATGTTTACAGCAGCAATGTCCACAATAACCAAACTATGGAAAAAGCCTACATGTCCATCAACAGATGAATGGATAAAGAAGATTTGATTGATACACACACACACACACACACACACACATACACACACATACACACACACACAGGAATACTACTCAGTCATCAAAAAGAATGAAATCTTGCCATTTGCAATGATGTGAATGGAACTAGAGGGTATTATGCTAAAAGGAATAAGTCAATCAGAGAAAGACAATTATATGATCTCACTTATATGTGAAATTTAAGAGGAGCATAGTGGAAGAGGGGGAAAATAAAACAAGACGAAATCAGAGAGGGAGACAAACTGTAAAAGATTCTTAACCATAAGAAACAAACTGAGAATTGCTGGAGGTGAGCAGGTTGGGGGAATGGGCAACTGGGTGATGGACATTAAGGAGGGAATGTGATGTAATGAGCACTGGGTATTATATAAAACTGATGAATCACTTAACTCTACCTCTGAAACTAATAATACATTATATATTAATTAATTGAATTTAAATGATAAAAAATTAAAACAACAACAACAAAAAATCCAAGACTGAGCCTTGTCAGGAGCTGGTTAAATGCACCCATCCCTGGGCGGCAGAGCATTGCAGCTTACATGGCAGAGATGTGAAGAATTGGGGCCATTTTTGCAAATCACCATAGGCTGTAATCATTTCTAGGATGCTAGCTACTGATATATATTGTTTGAAATTTAAATTGTTCGTTCTTGGGGCGCCTGGGTGGCTCAATGCATTAGGCTTCTGCCTTCGGCTCAGGTCATGATCTCAGGGTCCTGGGATCGAGCCCCTCATTGGGCTCTCTGCTCAGTGGGGAGCCTGCTTCCTCCTCTCTCTCTGCCTGCCTCTCTGCCTACTTGTCATCTCTCTGTCAAATAAATAAAATCTTTTAAAAAAGTTGTTCATTCTTGAGACAAAAATTAATACCTTAATAAAGAAGCTTATACTGCAAGGAAATCAACAGATTTTAAATGATCTGATTTAAAGGTAGAAATCAAGACTAAAAGTGAGATCTGCACAGCTGTAGAATAAGATTATATATTCTTAATATAAAACATATTGTATGTTGGGGCACCTGGGTGGCTCAGTGGGTTAAAGCCTCTGCCTTTGGCTCAGGTCATGACCCCAGACTCCTGGGATCGAGCCCCGCATCGGGCTCTCTGCTCACCAGGGAGCCTGTTTCCTCGCTCTCTCTGCCTGCCTTTCTGCCTACTTGTAATCTCTCTCTCTGTTAAATAAATAAATAAAATGTTTAAAAAAAAACAAACATATTCTTGAATATATTCCAAAACAATGAAACAATGAATATGATGTTGCTTTACCATCTCATTCATTATTGGCATAGCTACATTTATTTTGAGATGTATGATTTTTTTTTAAGATTTTATTTATTTATTTGATAGGCAGAGATCTCAAGTAGACAGAGAAATCTCTGAGAGGAGAAAGCAGGCTCCCCGCTAAGCAGAGAGCCTGATGCGGGGCTGGATCCCAGGACCCTGAGATCATAACCTGAGCTGAAGGCAGAGGCCTTAACCCACTGAGTCACCCAGGCGCCCCTGTATGATTTTTTTTTTTTTAAAGACTTATTTGATAGAGAGAGAACAAGAATGAGAGAGAGCACAAGCAGGGGGAGGGGCAGGCAGCAGAGAAGCTCCCAAGTAGCAGGGAGCCTGATGTGGGGCTTGATCCCAGGGCCCTGGGATCATGACCTAAGCTGAAGGCAGATGCTTAACTGACAGCCATCCAGGCGATGCTGTGGGGTTTGTTTGTTTGTTTGTTTTTAAGTAGGCTCAGGACCAGCATGTGAGATCAAGGTCTGAGATGAGATCAGGAGTCAGAAGCTTACCTGACTGAGCCACCCAGGCACCCCTGAGGCTTATGATTTTAATCTCAGTACAAACACACATGAACTGAAAACCCTAATGAGGGCTCTGGATGCCATGTATGTATGTAGGTAGGTATGTATTTCAAGTAGGCTCCATGCCCAGTGTAGGGCTCAAATTCATGACCCCGAGACCAAGAGTCCCATGCTCTACTGAGTGAACCAGCCAAGTGCCCCTCTGAAGGCTTTTTAAATTCAAGAGACTAATAAAGAGGTTTTGAGTCACTTACCTGATAATGCAAAACAGGTTTACATTAGCATTGTATAATGAAAAATCAATAAAAATAACTCTAGTCCCTCTTGTGATCCAGCTGTTCAGTTGAAGGTCAATGAACTTGTTTTTTGTTTCAGATTTTGATTTTGATAAAGTGAAAATAAATCCCCCATTTCGGTAAACACCAACAAATCCCCAGTGCCAAGGGGAGGTACTATCAGGAGGAGTGTACTTCCATCTGTTAGGTATAAAAAGAATAATGGAGACACAAGAAAGCTTGACTGAGATGTATTCTAAGAATTTAAGCTAACATTTAAAAAACAGGCAGTATTAAGTTCAAAAGTTTTATAGTAATTTTGGAGCAAGACAATGAGTTAAGGATTAAGAGGATTATTTAGTAAGTTTTCATTTTTTAGTGTTCAGTAGGGCAACACACTGGACCAGATGCTATGAGAAAAGGGTTTTTTTGTTTTTTTTTTTAAAGATTTTATTTATTTTCTTTACCTGTCAGAGAGAGAAAGCGTGAGCAGGGGTAAGGGGGAGTGGCAGAGGGAGAAGCAGGCACCCTGCTGAGCAAGGAGCCTGATGTGGAACTAGATCCCAGGATCCTGGGACCATGACCTGAGTAGAAGGCAGATGTTTAACCCACGGAGTCACCCAGGCGTACCAGAAAAGGTTTTTAAAAAAACCATCTGTTGCCTCAGGGAACTTACAATCTAGAAAACCATGACTGAGTTTTTTAAATACACGTTTCTGTTGTCTTATGAAATCTTTATTTTTGTAGGACAAAAATATCAAGGGATGTTATTCATAAATATCTGTCTCCATACATTAAAGGAGGGGCTTCATAGTCTGTCTTCTACATGTCACATATAAGACCTTTCTTACAATGTCTATATAGTTAAATTGATATATTTTTTAAAGATTTTATCTATTTATTTGACAGAGAATGAGAGAGAGAGAGAGAGGGGCAGGATCCCCACTGAGCAGGGAGCCTGATGTGGGACTCAGTCCCAGGACCACCGGATCGTGACCTGAGCTGAAGGCAGAGGCTTAACCCACTGAGCCACCCAGGTGCCCCTACTTTCTACTTTTTTCGAGAGAGAGGGAGAAAGAGAGAGAGTTTACAAACACATGTAAGTTTGGGGGAAGGGAGAGGGAGAGGAAATCCTAAGCAAGCTCCATGCTCTGCGTGGAGCAGGAACGTGGGGACGGATCCCACGACTCTGAAATCATGACCTGAGCTGGTATCAAGAGTCCTGTGCTCAACCAACTAAGCCACCCAAAAACCCCCATCCTTTCTACTTTTAATTATGGGATATCAAAAAATAAAGCTTTGACTCCTCATTTCAATCCCCGTTTAGCCTTCCCAAACAGATTTGAATGATTATCCAAAGGTGCATTGCTTAAAATTGTTTTTCTACTGATAATACTATGTTTGTTTTTAGGACAGGGAAAAAGTGATACCACTAAGAAAAAATACTCAGATTTAATGAAAATTCCATTGTTTTATTTATGAGTGTTTTCCACATGGTTGTTAAATTGAAATGAGAACATTTGTTACACCAATCCTCTCCTACTTCCAATTTTTTAATGATGTTTTTAATTAGAGAATGTTACATTTTAGATAGACAAACAAGAACAGATTGATTCTTATTTTGGTTGTTAGGGAATAACAAGTATTATAATTCCAAGTATGTAGTGTTTATTTATTTATTTTTAAGATTTTATTTATTTATTTGACAGATCAGAAGTAGGCAGAGAGGCAGGCAGAGAGAGGGGGGGAAGCAGGCTCCCCTCCGAGCAAATAGCCCGATGCGGGGCTAGATCCCAGGACCCTGAGATCACAACCTGAGCCGAAGGCAGAGGCTCAACCCACTGAGCCACCCAGGCGCCCCGTAGTGTTTATTTATTTATTTATTTAAAAAAAATTTTTTAAAGATTTTATTTATGTATTTGATAGACAGAGATCACAAGTAGGCAGAGAGGCAGGCAGAGAGAGAGAGGAGGAAGCAGGCTCCCTGCTGAGCAGAGAGCCCGATGATGCGGCGGGCGCTTGATCACAGGACCCTGAGATCATGACCTGAGCCGAAGGCAGAGGCTTTAACCCACTGAGCCACCCAGGCACCCCCGTAGTGTTTATTTTGATATTTAAATTACTTTTACTTGTTATGAGAATTTACAATAATAGAATACTTCTAACAGATTAGTTTTTGGATTCCAAAAAAAAAAATTTGCACATTTAATATGTGCAATTGAATAACTGGTTTATTTTATAATTTTTCATTGAAAGAGATAGTATACAGTATAGTAATACCTAAGAGAATGTCACCATACTTATGAGTTCATTAGATTTCTAAGAATTAAATAGGCACTTTGCTATCCTAAATTATAACCAAAAACTTACACAAAGAAAAAACAAATCAACAAAAACTGTAAAGTAGTGATTAGTCCTGGTGCTACAGGAGAGGTTGTTGAAGAAACGAAATGTAATCATTGTTCATATTTATAATATAAACACTGACTAATGATTAACAAAAATTATGATCTAACTACAGGCTAAGAGAAATGGGAAGTTGTGTGTGTGTGTGTGTGTCTGTGTGTGTGTGTGTAGGGAGAGGCACACGATAGACACCTTTCATGATGGAGACAAAAGATACAAAAGGTACAAAAAAAACCCTGTAAAACCATGTAACAGCAGTAGAAGCACATTATTTAGGAATAGAAAGTACACCAGAAGAAACAACTAAAAGAGCTCATGCAGGCTGCTTCTGAGAATTGTATTTGTATCATTTAATTAATATTAAATTAAAAAAATTCATTCTCTGCCGCCTATGATTTTCACAGGACTGTAAAAGCAATTGATACCAGCAGCTTCTGGCTTTGGGTGTCCTATTTTCAGTATAGACATGAGTGTACGCCAGCATTAGCCTGAGCCAGTTTGGAGAACACTGCTATACTATCTTTGGTAGGCATCATCAGATGTGGTGCCTCTGTGGAGCATAATGGCTCCTTTTCTGTATTGGCAGTTACAGAAGGTATCACTGAAGTCAGAGTGAGAAAGGAGGAAAGTGGCAGAGCACACCTAGAACACTCTCTAGGGGTCCCAAGAAGTTTTGGGATATGTTTGAGAGAGGCTGGTCCGAGACAGAAAATCTGATTTGAGTAGTGTAAAAGCAAAAACGGATGCTTTACCTTATGTTCATAATGACTTAGCACTTCATATACTCCAGTAAGGAAAAAAGAATACTCTTCATATCCTTTGGTAAACAAAATAACAGGTTCACTCTTACTTTTCTAAACACTGCTCCTTCCTTTGCTACTATTATTGAAAGTCTCCTTACTTGCCAGACCAACTGTTGGTATTTGGAAAATATACATATTTTCCTAATTTTTTAAAGATACAATGGTAAGATGCTAGGAAAAGTTACATGTAATTTTATATTACTTACTCAGTTTCCACTTGAAGGCCAAAATCAGCCAGGTCTTCATTTTTAGAAGTGTATCTGTCATAACATTCATCCATCAAAGACTGAAGGGATGAATAGACCTTGCATGTGTTGTTGCGGACTTTTAGTTGACGGACTCTGGGGACTCCTAAGAGTATGTTCTCATAGTAGATGCGACTGCTGTTCTTTAAATCATACAACGTCTTGTTAGTGTACCATGCGTCCCAGTACAGACCTTCCAAAAGGGGTCCTTCCATAAACTTCGTATAGAAAGATAAATGTTATGGGAAAAATATTTTCGTGTCAGTTGTGTAACAGAATCTACTTCATAATGTTACCTTAAAAACATAAAAATCAGTGATTTTGACGAGTATGAAAATTACTGACCAAGCCACAATATTAAAGGATATGAAGATGATTAATATTTACTGAGCCTTATGTACTACACACTGCTCTAGCCCTTTACAAATATTAATTCATTTAATTCCACAACCCTTCTTCTTTCTTATCTGAAGGGTGTATTGAAAACTGTCCCCTAATACGTGAGTATATAAACCCATAGCCACATACTCATGTTTGTTATAGCTGCAACTCATCACTTGCCCTCAAAATTGTCTGTGTTCTCCTCCCCCACCAGCTCCAGCGGTGGTGACTGCTACTTTTTCCTGGCTCTGCCATTCTAAGAGATCCCAAACCCAGGGTTGAGTTTTTCCTTTCCTGCCTTTGTCTTCTTTGCCATTGGCCATGTATACTTCAAGGCAGTACAATAAAAGAGCAGGGTGAACTCCACTTCTAGTCTCAGGGAAAATCTCCTTTTTCTTTTATATTTCACCTGGCCTATACCAATGACCTCTAATCATCTGCTCTCATCTCAAACTTCCCCTCTCTCTCAGGAAGTGACTCTGCCTCCTTAAGTCTCAGGTTCCTAGCATGGCATTCATGATCTGACCTCTGTTCAACTCAGAGTTTGGCCTTTTCCACCTCATCTTCTATATTTCTAATGCCAAGTACAACTCCAGATGTAGAATTACTTATAGCATATATTGTTTCTCCATCCTAGAATGCCCTCTTGTTACTCATCCTTTAAAATGCAAGTGAATTCACATCACCTCTGGAAAACCTTCCTTATATGTCCCAATGTCTGTGACTTGGGATACCTGAAACTTCTGTTCTCTTAATTGTTCTCTCCTAATAATGTGAGAATCTTGTTAAGTTAAATGTAATGGAAAAAAAAAAGCCTGTTCCAAAGCTGAAGTAATACTCTCACATAATTAAAAACACTATGAAGTTATATTTTGCATATGTACTTTTTTACTTGATTACATACTGCACATTACTCTAATACATACAGTACAAGACTGTATACCAAAATTATATATTTATTTCACTTTATGGGCCATTTAAGGATTTTTTTTTTTTTAGTAATCTTTACACCCAAAGTAGGACTCAAACCCATAACCTCGAAATCAAGAGTTGCATGCTCTTCCAACTGAGCTAGCAAGGCGCCCCCATTTAAGGATTTTTAAATAATTTTCACTATACACAATTAGTTTGACATGGATCCTAACTCCACATAAGCAGCAAGTCTACTATTTTCCAAACGCAACGATGTTTCAAAAAAAGTACACTTTTGGGGGTGACTGAGTGGCTCAGTGGGTTAAAGCCTCTGCCTTCAGCTCAGCCCCGCATCAGGCTCTCTGCTCAGCAGGGAGCCTGCTTCTTCCCCCACGCCCCCGCCTGCCTCTCTGCCTACTTGTGATCTCTGTCAAATAAATTAAAAAAAACTTAAAAAAAAAAAAAAAAGTACACTTTTGGGGCTCAGTTGGTTAACTGGCTGACTTCAGTTCAGGTCACGATCTCAGGGTCCTGGGATCAAGCCCTGAATCAGGCTCCCTGCTCATTGGGAAGTCTGCCTCTCCCTCTGCCTCTCCCTCATGCTTACTCTGTCTCAAATAAATAAAATCTTTTTTAAAAAGTGTAATTTTTTTTTAAGTTTTAAGAACTCTATTACACTGAAAGCATAGGATCTCAATATATACTTACTGATTCTAAAAGTTTAAAGAAATGATATCCATTTTCACTCATTCCTTCACCAAATATGTCTCCAGTGTCTATTATGTGTGCCATGAGTTTGTTTATGCAATACTAAAAGCTACTTCATTCTCTGTCGCATGATACCTTACCTTCCAAAAATCAGTTATGCTGCGAATAGACTTAAAGTTGGTTCTTTCATCACCAGGCGCAGAAGTGTCCAAAAATAGAGATGACATAACTTTGTTTAAGTAATACATATGTGGGTTTACCATCCCAAAAGTCACTAAGGAGAAGAATTTTTGTTTAAAAATTTATTTTTAAAAACTCAGTTTATCAGGATTAAAAATTAGTTAAATTTTATTCCCAATTTTGTTTTGAAAATTCAAATTTTTCTTGACTAATTATAAAATTAAAAAAAATAAAATAGAAATATACAAAATAAGAAGTTTCCATAATTCCACTGCTAGAATTAGGCTTAACACATATTCTTCAGATTTTTCTATATGCCTACACATTTATAAAGAAAACAAGTTTATTTTTAAAAAGACAAGACCACATTATGCATACTATTCTGCAAGCTTTTTCTCTATTTTGAGAGTAGACAATATAGTGAATAAAGCTTTGGATTTTGAATTCAAACAAATAACAGAGTCCCATCATAGGCATAACATCTCCTACCTCATAGTTTTGTTATAAGAAGTGAGATAATACATGTGGAACATTTAAATCCATGTTTTCGCACGTGGTAAGAATTTTAAAAAACATTAACTGGTATTTTTTCTCTTTCTAGGGTGGGTGGATAGGTTTTAGAGCACAGTCTTTCTTTAATATGACTAAATATGTTTTTTTTTTTTTAAATCTAGAAGACTTTTAGTTTTTACCAATTATCTATCTTCAGCATTATTCTATGGCACATGAGCCTATGCCATGCTTTAATATTCCATATTATTTCACTGTATATACTAAAATGCTAAACAAATCCTGTTTTTTTTTTTGTTTTTGTTTTACAAATCCTCTGTTGAAGATTTAAGTTGCTTTCAATTTTTCCTAATTATAAAAAGGTTTGCTGTCTGTGAATAATGAATATGATTTTTGTATTTTTCCATTCCCTGAATGTTCTGTAATAAGCATTTCAAAACCATTCTAAAATGTCTTAATTTAGAAGATCTAGAGTTGTCTTTTTAATCAAACTCTGACTCAAACTCACTCCTATGATACCAAATAGTTAACTGATATGTAATTGCCAGTATGCAGGCCATATCAACATGAGAGAAGTCTGGCCAATGAGCTTACACTGTTTGTTGGGCATTCTAATGATGAAATGCTCTTAGATAAAGATTTAGTCAATGCTTTTGACCCAGATAGGAGAAATGCAGATTGAGAGGTTTTCCCAGTCTCCTTAAAAATTTGCATTGATACAAACGTTCTGTGACTCTGCACCAGCATATTTTATTATAAACTGTACAACAGGTCAGGGAAAGAAACAGACACCAAGACTAACTTCTTTGGCCTCATTTGTAGTATGACCTATGAAACTGAACTAATGCATCCATGCGGCTCTAAAAGAAATCACATCAGAATTGCCAACTCAAGGGCATAATTATATTTAAGATTGAACTGAAAACTCAAAAGTCACAATTCTATCAACGTTGACTATGAAAGCTTTTCATTACACCTGTGACCTAAAGCTTTGCCCTTTAAGAGATGGAAACAGTGTCAATCTAAATGAATATAAGTAAGTCTAAAATGTGTTACTTTTTTTAGAAGTCTTAGTCTGAGAGCCTATGCTTTATAAAGTACATGTTTTATTTTTCACCTCCACATAAACTTCTTAGTTCAGTGTCTTCACCTACGTCTGTATACTTACATATACATAGGTTTATTAAAAAAATAAAGTAGAGTGCCAATTCCTGAAGTGTGGTTCTAATTTCTACTTCCTTACTGTAATGCAGGTTAGGTTTCGGAGTCCCTGTGAGACACAAAACAAATTGTTTCTTTACATTATTATGCAATTTATAATGTATATAAATAACGATGATGGGAAAACACAGCCACTTGTAGCGGATACACTGTGTGAAGAAAAGCTCCAATGGCTACTGGTTATTTTTTTATTCTCACTTTTGTGAAGGAGGAATAATTACTCACACTTCCCATGAGGGGTGAGCGGGCAGTCATTTTATGACTGAGCACTAATGAATTTTATGTACTACACGGACGTTCTCTCAGAAGTCCTGTCTGAAAGTGAAAAAAAATACACACACACACAGGAAAAAGAAAAAAAAAAAATCCCTCATCTGTCCCTAACCGTATTCTCTACCTTCTATATTGCTTCTTGGGAAGGCTGGCTTCTGCTGGAGGGGGGAAAGGACTCGACCTGGGGTTCTTCTACCGAGGTAATACTCCCTAGATCAAAGACGGACTTCGCCGAATGGCCTAGTGACGGTATTTGCGCATCGGGTAACAATCCCCGGCTCGAGCCTCGGGCAAGGGGCGGGTGCCATATCCCCTCAAGGCTTCAGTTTTCCCATCTGTGAAACGGGACCCCTGTTCACCCATTCTCAAGGGGAGGCTGGGAGCTAAACGTGCTGTCTTTCATGAATAGATACGGGGCTACATAGTTCCTTCCACCGTACTTGTCACTGCCAAATCGGCCCTGCCTACAACTCCCTAGGATTACCCCTCACCGCCTCGGTGCCACCGCGACGCCTCAGCCATGGCCGACCTGGACAACGACGCCCGTTCGACCTCCTCGGGCGGCCGCGCTTGCGCGTAACTTTGCGACCCGCGCCACCTAGATCCTGCGCCTGCGCAAACCCTCAGGGTCCTGCACCAGCGCAATCCGTGCTACAAGTGGCCAGCGCGCATGCGGACCGCGGACGCTCAGGCAAGCCGGCGGCTGAGGCGGGGCTGGAAACTGCGGCGTCTTTTTTCTGGCGGAGGGCCGGCATCTCCGGCGACCCTGGTTTGGGGCCTGGGGTTGGTCGTAAAATTCGTAGTGATTAATTCTAACGGGCTACTGTGTCTTGAACACCTTTTACATTTATTGGCTTGTTTAGTCTTCACATCCCCCCTTCCTGAAAGGTAGGTGTTTTATCCTCATTTTAGGTCTGGAGACGCCGAGGCGCTGAGAGGGTCAGTAATTTACCGAAGTGCACAGGTGGTCGGGGCAGGTCGGCTGGACGCCAGAGCCCGAGTTCCTAACCAAGCGCCCACTCTGCCGCTGCTGCTTGCAGACATGGGTTCTCGTTAACCGAGAGCTGCTTCTAGAAATAGCTTCCACCCCTCTTGCCACCCAATCTGGCTAAAGAAAACGATAAAGTAGAATGAAAAAAAAAAAAAAAAAAATCCAGCTCTGAAGTGATTATGTGGAAGAGTAGGCCAAACAGGAGACCTGGGGAGCCCAGATTCACATCTGGCCCTGAAGCTTTGCAAAGATGGGAAGGTTTGTAAACCAAAGACCTTTGGCTGTAAATTAAGGCATCCAGAACCCTGCCAGGATATGAGACAGGAGAGAGTCTCGTGTTGGAAAAAAGGAAAATGAAACGGAATGTAATAGGCCCCGGGGCAGCCGGCAAAGAAAACCATCAAGCTGTCGGGGAAGGAAAAAATAAAGCCTCTTTTGTTATTTCCCTGAAAGAGATGTCGAGTGATGTTGATAAATGCTATTTTATGTGTAGATAAAAAACAAACCGAGGCCACACAGCAGAGACGGTCAAAGACTACCAATGATAAAAGGAACAGGAGAGGCCTAGCAAAAGGCCATGGCCAGTGGACCGGAGGCCTGAGAAGAAAGGACTAGTGTCCTCGCTTAAGGAATAGTGCAATAAAAGGATTTTCCCTTTCCTGTACTTAGACTCTCAGATGCTCACAAAATTATGCTTTCTAATGTAATAGGTTATATGAACTTGAAATGTAGGAGGACACCCACCCCTACACCCCAGGCATTCAAATTTACATGAAATGTAAGAATTAAGCAGATGACTCTACAAACTATTCTTTTTCCATTGAGCTCAATAGACTCAAGGGTTTTGAAGACTTAGGGGCTTTTTTGGTTAAAACAAAATCACAATTTCAGGAGAGATTCTGTCAGGATTTAGTTATTGTGGTTGCTTGCTTTTGAAGTGCAAACCGTGGAAAGTCTAGCTTAGTTTCCGAAAGAATTGACTGAGCTGTATTGAGCTTCATTGAGACAGTTCTAGAACATAATTTTGTTGATTGTTTTGGAGCTTGTTATTCTTAGATTTTTGCTAAGTGTTGTATAGCATATAGAAACCAGAATTTATATTTTAAAGATCTAGACTTTTGTGAAGAGAAGACAGTCTGTTTTAAATATTTGAAATTTTATTCTCTTTTGACATTGAACTATGGAACACTCAGATAATCTATACCATGTTAGTATTCCTATAAGAGAAAATGGGTGAAACAGTATTTAGAAAGCAGTACCAGTAAACCTTATTACAAGCATTAGATGTGCTTAAAGAGTCAATATTAATTCATAACCTGTAATTGTTAAATGTGTATGACTCAAATGTTAAAATATAACATTTTAAGATAGTCTTCTACAATTACAAACCCATATACCCAGATTTTCCATGGGCTTCGCAAACCAGAGAAGAAGATAGAATGTGCAAGAGTCAAAGGATAAATATATATTAGTTATATTATCTAATTAAAGCCATAATCTGTTAATACAGCTATGGATTTGTTTTAAAAATTTAATTGAATATATTATTAATAATGTAGTTGTGTTTTCCAGTGTTGGTAACCTCATTAAAGTTCTTCACTTTCATAAAGTCCAGATTGAGCTGCCAGACGCTGAAATTCTCCTTCAGGGTTAAAAGCTTGTTTCACATCCAGACCTTTACCGTTAAGTGCTAAATATTTGCTGAAAGTTGGTCGAACACGTAACTGCTTAGGAGCTGGAAGAGTTTGGTTTTGACGGACTGAAATAAGATAAAAAAGAGGTTAATTCAGAAAATCTGTTCTAAACAAATGGGTTGCCCTAGATATCCAGTATCAGACAGGAAAAGAAAAAAAAAGTCGCAACTGATTATTCTTATATTATGCTGGGATTTGTGTTTTTTATTAAATCTTTCTGATTAAGTCCCTGGGTTGAGAGCATGACATACCTGTAACATCTAATCTTGTGTTACATGTGGTCACTCCAGCTTCATTAACTGCAGACACAGTATACCACCCAGCATCTTTCTTGTTTACATCTTTTATTAGTAAAGTAACTCTTCCAGAGTTATCATGATATAAACTGAAAAGAAACAGTAATAAAACAATGAAGTGTAGGTATTAATTTTCCTGTGAAACTTTTTTTTTGATGCCTCTGACCCAGAGGGACAGACTGTAAGAAAATGAACCATTTGGAAATTCTGAGACAGTACCTAGTCAGTGCCAAATAGCTATTGGCTTTATTGAGTTTAATTCCCCCCTTTAATTTTTTTGTGTCATTATTTCCTTGAGCCGTCTTTCTCTATGGTTAGTAAAAAGGTAAATCCTAGCTTTATGCCCTAAAGTTTTCATTAGTGGAATTGGGGGTTAATGAGGTTTATTGTATTTTCTCTCCATGTTTTAAAAACTAGACAAAGTGAGATTACAGAAGCATGCCATTTATAATACATTTCAGGTACAACTGGAATCATCCAAATAAACTACAGTTATGTCTAAAAATACTTATCCTACCTTATTCGATCAGTGTTGAATTGTACCATTTCATTATTTCTTTTCCAGAAAAGCTTTGGTGGAGGTACAGCTGAGATTTGGCATTCTAGCTTCACTGAGTCTCCCTCAAAAACTTTTTTGCTCTGTGGTTTGTAGATAAACATTGGTGCTCTCCTATGTTCTTTTGCTACGTATTAATAAAAAAGAATTCAAATATTCAGAATATTATAAAAAGAAAATAAGTTAAACCAAGGTATTATGAAATTTGTGTGGTAATACAAAAGTTTTAAAAAACCGTAACTCAAGAAGATTGGAAGCTTTATGTTTTAGCGTTAGTTAAAACAATGTGTAGAAGTACTATTTTGTATTATACCAAATAGAGTTCTAAAACAGTAATGTAGGGCACCTGGGTGGCTCAGTTGGTTAAGCGACTGCCTTCGGCCCAGGTCATGATCCTGGAGTCCCCGGATCGAGTCCCACATCAGGCTTCCAGCTCAATGGGGCGTCTGCTTCTTCCCCTGACCTTCTCCCCCTCTCATTCTCTCTCTCTCTCTCAAATAAATAAATAAAATCTTTAAAAAAAAAAAAAAAAAAAAAAAAAATAAAACAGTAATGTAATGTTGCGTTGGATTTATAATCATGTTTCATTCAAAGAATTTCAGTTATATTTTCATTTATGTCTCTTCAGTAAGGAGGTATCATGGGTGATGGCAAGACTAGACAACTTAGGTTCTAATTGTCTATTTGCCCCACCAGCCATGCCAAATTGGGAAAAATTTGTTTGGTTTCTCTGAGGCTCAGTTTTATCTATTGTAGAACAGATAAATAGAAAAACCATTTTAAAGATTATTTATTTATTATGTATTTGTCAGAGAGAGAGCACGTGCACAAGCAGGTAGAGTGGCAGGCAGAGGTGAAGAGAGAAGCAGGCTCCCTGCCAAGCAAGGAGCCCGATGTGGGACTCAATCCCAGGACTCTGGGATCTGATCCCAGGACTCTGGGATCTGATCCCAGGATCATGACCTGAACCAAAGGCAGTGGCTTAACCAACTTTTAAGTTACAGTTAACCAACTGAGCCACCAGGCATCTAGAAAACCCATTTTAAAAGGAATACAGGTAATAGTGACTGCTCTGCCTCCCACTACTACTCAAAATACTGTGAGGATCAGCTGAGATAATGAAGAAATATTTTATAAACTGTAAAATAGTATACAAATATCTGTAATTGGTATGTCATTTCTTTAATTACCTGAAGGAAAAGAGGAAATTATATACTACTGTAGCCCTGTCTTTTCTGAGGAGAAATGAAATTGGACAGATGTCTGCCAAGGCCTCTTTTAGCTCTAATGTTACAGTATTTCTGGAGCTATTGGCACAAAAAGATTTGCCCAGAGCTTAACCACCTGAATTGGATTTTTTTTTTTGATTCCCAAATCACTACTTTTTCCTTACAGTGAGGCCCATTATTGTATCATAGAATAATCTTAAAGGTTTTTCATTAATATGAGTAGAATGCAAACTTAAGGAAGTTGTCCATCCTTTAACTTATCAAGATTTTATATAATCAACAGTGAATTGTATCAAAGTATCTCTTTTGCATTATGCCACAACTTAAACCATTACAAATGAAATATATATTTAAAGCCCTTAAATTGTAATATTTTAAAACAGTACCTAAGTTTTATAAGAAACTGCCTTACTGAAGGCAAATTCGAGACATGAGTTTAGTTAGCCATATCTGTTTTTCTAAAGCAAGTAGGTGTGTTTTCGTTATAGAGACTAGTTTCTAGTAAAAAGAAGTATAAACTAAGGCTAAAAGTTAATATTTATTCCTCAGTTTTAAATTTTGTGTGACCATGACAGTTCTGTAAAGATAAGAATCAGATTATTTTGGATTATAGATCAGAGATACGGCCAGACTAATGTTTTTTACTTTAAGATCCTTCAGTTATATCTAGAAATGCTTATATAGTTTACCCTCGAACAACGCGGGATGTTGGAGCACCCCACCCCACCACATGCAGTCAGAGATCTGTACGTAACTTTTGACTCCCCAGAAACTTAACTACTAATAACATACTCTTGACTGGAAGCTTTACTGAAAATATAAATAGTCAATTAACACATATTTTATATGTTAATATATTATATATTGTATTCTTAAAGTGAGGTACACCAGAGAAAAAATATTATTTAAAACATTGTAAGTGAAAATAATATACAGTACTGTGTTGTAAACAGTCTGCATGTAAGTGGACATGTGGTGTTCAAGCCCATGTTGTTCAAGGGTCACCTGTACTGTCTTATTTTGTCCAAAATTGCACCATATCTTTATTTCCTTTCCCGAAAAGCTTTAGTTCTAGGTCTGTCCTTGAAGTTTCACTGAGTTTCTCTCAAAAATGCTCCCTCCCCCCTCCCCACCATTCTGTGACTTTTAGATAAAAATTGGCATTCTGTTGGGTTGTGTAGACATTAACCTTAAATAAGTCATCTGGGCTTTTCTTTTTCAACACTTGCTTTTAAAAATACTGCTGGATATTAAGGAACTCTTGAAGATCTCTTTGAAGGCTTACCCAGGACATCCAACTGCACGGTAAAGGTGGCTTCTCCTGCTCTATTCTTGGCAACACACACATAAGCACCTGCATCTGAAGTTCTGACCACTTCAAAGATGAGTGAATGAAAACCCTTTTCAGACACTATCATTTTGTGAAAATCATCTGATTGAACTGGTCTTCCATTCAGATACCATGACACATCAGGAGCTGGCAGTCCGCTTACCTGGAAAGGAAAACACAAGAAGGAGATGACAGAATTTTAAATTATATCATCACTGGAACCTATTTGTCCATTTATAAATTTAAACAATTCCAGTATCTGAGTGGGTTTGTGGTTCAGAATGCGAAGGAAGATCTTAAAAAGGTATTTGGTTTCAACAATTTCTTAACAAAAACAGTGGAAATTAAAACTCTTGAGTTGAATTTAATATTTTCAGACTACCTCAAACCACATCTAACCCTTCCATATGTAACCTCAGGCTCCTTAAGATCTCCCAGTTATTATATTTAGAACATTAATTTATGTTATATAGGTCTCCACAAGAAATATGAAGTCCTCTGGCTTTTTTCGATTATGGTGACTGCAGATGAAGTCCCAGAGGGACATGCATGTCATGATTGCTGATCTAATGAATGACTTTATCAAAACAGAGTGCCCTTGAGCTGTAATTCTGCTGTTTAAATGCCAGTTTGTTAAGTGTTTTACTATAACCCATAACAGTTAAATTCATATACTTTCATTCATAAGGAATCCAGAAGACGTAAGAAAAGGATTCCAAAATGAGGATAATAAAAATGTAGGTCTTTCTAAAGATCTCTTCTAGCTTGAAGAACTCTTCTAGGCCAAGTGAGCAGCTTGGCTTGAATTTTTTAATGGAGAAGAATTAAAGAGGAATTTTGCTTTAGAAATCCTATTGTTTTGGTAGCTTCACTTATGTTTTTAGTATGGAGTGGGCACTATTGTGAGTACCTTATGCCTGTTTACTCAGTTAATCCTCATAAGAACTTTATGAGGTAGGTACATTTGTTACTCCATTTTACAGATGAGACAAAAAGCACAGAGGTTGACTGTCTTAAGTAAGGTTACACAGCTGAATAGTGGCAGAGCCAAGATTCAAACCCAGGTAAGCTTAGCTCCAGAATTTTTGTTCTTACCTACTATACATGTTACTTGTTAAGGTATACAGTAAGTTATTTATTTATTTATTTATTTATTTTGTTAGAGGGGTGGGAAGGGGCAGAGGGGAAGAGAGACTCTTAAACAGGTTCCATGCCCAGCACAGAGCACAACATGGGGCTTGGTCTCACAACCCTGAGATCATAACCTGAGCCGAAATCAAAAGTTGGACACTTAACCTACTGAGCCACCCAGGTGCCCTAGGTGTGTAGCAAGTTATGAAGAGGAAGAGGACTTTTTATTTATTTATTTATTTATTATTAAATTTAAGATTTTATTTATTTATTTGACAGAGATTACAAGTAGAGAGGCAGGCAAAGAGAGGAAGGGAGACAGGCTCCCTGCTGAGCAGAGAGCCCGATGCGGGGCTCGAAACCAGGACCCTGGGATCATGACCTGAGCCGAAGGCAGAGGCTTTAACCTACTGAGCCACCGAGGCACCCCAGGAAGAGGACTTTTTAAAAATTTATTAACATATAATGTATTATTTACTCCAGGGGTACAGGTCTGTAAATCATCAGTCTTAACATTTCACGCACTCACCATAGCACATACCTCCCCAATGTCCATAACCCACCCACCCCATCCCTACTCCCCTACCCCCGAGCAACACTTAGTTTGTTTCATGAGATTGAGTCTCTTATTGGTTGTCTCCCTCCCAATTTCATTTTTTCCCTCCCTAGCCCCCACGACCCCCTGCCCTGCCTCTCAAATTTGGAAGAGGACATTTTTCAAAACACAGTATCTTGTTAATTTTCCTCCAGTATTTTTGAATTCTTACTTTGAAATCCATTCTGTAGAATCTTCCTTCTTCAATTGACATGTTCTCTGGCACTTGAATGAAACGAGGTGGGTAAAATTTCTCCTGGATTGCATCCTGATCATTCACATCTCCCCTTGAAGACGATCTGCTTCTACAAAAATATTTTAATAATCACTCTGTAGGAAAGTTGTCATTGTTCTTCCATTTACACAAATACAGTTAAGCCATTGTATTGGAACTCCCAGAGTCTATACTGTTTTATGTGGTAGTGTAATAACAATAGAGAGACCTTAGGACATGGCATATTTAATGATTATTAGAAATGGTAGCAATTTAAAAACATTTGGTACAAATTATACATCTTTTTGTTTTTTGTACAAAGCTGTAAATTGACAGAAAAACTGATTAAAATGCAGAGTACCCCGTGGATGGTTCTTACCATATGCAATGATTTAGTAATTGGAATTGGGTTTTAATTATCATGAAGAACTTTTCTTAACATAGACATGTGGTCCTGGCTTATTTGACCAAAACATATAAAAAACCTCTGAGATCTGAGAATTAATGGATAAAAATTCTGACCATCCTCTCAGACATTAGAAAATTCATGTTGTTTTTTTATAAAAGATGTAGGAGGCAAGGCTTTGTTAATATTACATTTTTAAAAAAAGATTTTATTTATTTATTTGATAGAGATTACGAGCAGGCAGAGAGGCAGGCAGAGAGAGAGGAGGAAGCAGATTCCCCGCTGAGCAGAGAGCCCGATGTGGGGCTGGATCCCAGGACCCTGAGACCATGATCCGAGCCGAAGGCAGAGGCTTCAACCCACTGAGCCACCCAGGTGCCCCAAATATTACATTTTTAAGCTGGAAATAATTTTGGTAGCAAAATGTTACTTTAAGATTGAGAATTTTTTTTTTTTTTTTTTTACCTTACTTGTGATGTAGGAACTTGCAGTCGTGCATGTTCTGAGTTGTGCTGCTTGAAATTAAAACAAAGTGAGAATGTTAATGTGGTTGTTAGCTTGAAATGAAGCAGAATTAAGTAGTCTTGGTTGAACATTTCTTTCCTGTTTTTGTGCAGTCGTGGTTAATTCTATATATAGTTGAACCTTGAACAGCAGTAGTTTGAACTATACAGGTTCACTTATATGTGAGTTTTTTTGAAAGATAAATACAGTACAGTACTTTATTTTTAAAAATTATTTATTTTTTTTTAAGATTTTATTCATTTGACAGAGAGACACACAGTGAGAGAGGGAACACAAGCAGGGGAATGGAAGAGGGAGAAGCAGGCTTCTTGCTGAGCAGGGAGCCCAATTCGGTGCTTGATCCCAGGACCTTGGGATCACGACCTGAGCTGAAAGCCTAATGCTTAACTGACTGAGCCACCCAGGTGCTCCTACAGTACAGTACTTTAAATGTATTTTCTCAGCATCTTTTCCCTCTAGATTATTTTAAGAATATAGTATGTAATACATATAGTATACAAAATATGTGTTAATCTATTTACTGGTAAGGCTTCTGGTCAGCAGTGGGCTAATAGTTGTTGGGGAGTCAGAAGTTATATGTGGATTTGCACTATATGAGGGGGGCTCAGCACCCCTAACTCCTGCATTGTTCAAGGGTTAACTGTTAAGCGACTAGAATATAGTGCACAGAGCTTCTAATACTTTAGCAAGAAATCCCCAGAATTAATAGGACTGTTCAGCAGGTATAATATATGAAAATTAGCCAGCCTTAGAATTCCTGGTGGTTCATTTTTCATGTGACTGTTTTACAACAAAGGGTGATGTGTTACCCTGGTGTATTTGAAATGAGAACACATAGTACAGATTGTCCTTTAGTAAAACAGGAATAGACATGAAGTCATTTGTGTTGGCAGTTGATACAGGGTATTATGCCCACTGCTCAAAAGTGCACCAACAGCAATTAGCACATATTAGACTGGAAAATACTTCTCTTTTTAGCTCATGGCACAAAATCATAATAGACACCATGGAAGATATGTGTAGAGCTCTGAGAAGGTTTGAAAAACAAAATTAATTACTTCCTGCTTAATAAAGGTATATTTAAGCAGGTATCTTTTGAGATTTATATTTAAGCACTGGAAAATTATTTCCATTTGAGAATAAAACCAGAAATTGATGGAAACCATAATTAAATGACCAAATACTTGGTGCTTATTTTGTGTGTTTTACTGTGTTTGGCATAGTAGTGACTAGTGAAAATTATATCCATATCCAAATATCTGGAAAACATCTATATAGCAATGCAGCAAATCTGAGTACAAATAATTTATTTTGGGATGAATATGTTTAATGTATTTGGTCATTTAAAAATTCTTATAACTCTAGGGGCACCTGGGTGGCTCCATGGGTTAAGCCCCTGCCTTCGGCTTGTCATGATGTCAGGGTCCTGGGATCGAGCCCCACATCGGGCTCTCTGCTCAGCCAGGGTGCTGCTTCCCTGTCTCTCTCTGCCTACTTGTGATTTCTCTCTCTCTCTGTCGAATAAATAAATCTTAAAAAAAAAGTTTAAGATTCTTATAACTCTAACAATTATTGGCTAGTTTTAAGGTTCTCTAAGCAACATGTCAAAATTCACTTACCAAATCAACTAACTTTTTGGTAAAAAATAAAAATAATCTGATTAAACCCAAAATATCCAAATTAAGTTTTTAATTTTTCCTATAGTGATAGTTTGAGTATGTATATATTCATATTCAGAGGTGTAATATTTCAGTTTTATGTAACCTGATGACATTTTGGGTTATTAGAGTATTTGAAGCATACCAAAAAAACCCTAAGATTTATCCTTTCTGATTTCATAATGGTATGTTTTGCTGTTGTCTTTTTTCTTGGTACCATCACTTTTATTTTATTTATTTATTTATTTATTTATTTATTTTTTTAAGCTTTTATTTATTTATTTGACAGATAGAGATCACAAGTAGGCAGAGAGGCCGGCAGAGAGAGAGAGAGGAGGAAGCAGGCTCCCTGCTGAGCAGAGAGCCCGATGTGGGGCTCAATCCCAGGACCCTGAGATCATGACCTGAGCCGAAGACAGAGGCTTTAACCCACTGAGCCACCCAGGCACTCCATCACTTTTATTTTAATGTTTTTAAAGAATGAGTAAGAAAAATGATAGATCCTTGCCTTCAAAATCATACACTGAATTTATAATATACACCAAGAATATAACATTGTTTTGAGTTACTTCTACTAATAGCAGTTTCCCATCTTCTTGCTGTAATCTGTACCAGTTCAGAGCCCAACACACAGTAGGTGCTCTGTGTAAAATAATTAATTGAATGAATGTATGAACTGTTGAGTACCCAGAGATTCAAGTTCTAATTTTCTAATTAGTTGCACTGTTAGACCCTGCTCCATCCTTTTTAGTAGTTGCATTTAACAGAAACAAAA